GGCCCCCGGGTCAGCAGCGCCGCTGGCCAGAGATGTACCCCTCGGGAGAGAAACATGGAGGACCTCAGGCAGCAACTCCTCTGCCCCCACCGGCGTTCCATCCGATGGCTTCTCCACATGCACCCCGGAGGCGGGGTGCTCATCAACAATCACGACCGGGGGCTCCTTATCGGTGATATCCCCCTTCTTCGGCTTTTTGGTAGCCGGGGGGGACCCCTTGGCCGCCGCCTTCCTTTTACTGGCAGCGGCATCGCCCTCGGATGTTTTGAAGAGGGTAGCGATGGGCTTCTGGTTGCCCTGTCCCGACCCCTTTGGGTCCTTGTTCTTCAGCCGCGCAAGGCCCTTCACGTTCACCATTGCCATGGGGATACCTGCAAAAATACGACAAAGGATTAGGCCGACGGGTCTACAGCGAAGGAACAATGACATCCAAGCAAAACAAAAAAAAGGACTAAGTACAAAAATCGAAAGCCCTCGGCTCCTCCGAAGGCCTTGTTAAAGAGAGGATACTTTTCGTCGGTCTCCCCTATGAAGCGATACCTTCGGAACCCGAGGGTGTATAAGTCTTCTTCAAGGGTGCAATCTTTGATCGCCACATTCTTATTCTTCCCTTCCGGGAACTTGGCGAGCTTTAGGCCGTCTTTCTCGAGGGCAGCACTCCTGATCTTTTCGTGCCTTCGGAATCGATCGCGCAGTTCCCTCGGGAATGGGTTCTCGTCCAGCTTCACATAACACCAACGTTCCCTCCACCCTTTGTTTGAAGAAGGGGCGTCGGAGAATAGTTTGAAACGGGCGATCTGCTGCAAATTCGCGTATCCCTCGCCGTTTTCATGCCCCCCTCAGCACAGGTTAAAGCTCTGGAAGAATAGATCCAGGCTGGGCTTCACCCCTCGGGACTTGCAGAGCTGGAGGAACCCCGCGATGTAAGAGTGGCTGTTGGGTGTAAGCTGGCAGGGGACCAAACCAACAAACCTCAGGTACTCCCGAAGGAACGGATGCAGAGGGAACCTAAGTCCCATAGAAACCGAGAGGATGTGGACGGCGATACACCCCTCGGGCGCTCTGGACAACACGTCGTCAGGACCCGGCTCCACCACTTCGGCCGAGGGCCCCACGTGCAGCTGAGTAACATACAGATCTGCCCTATCGGCTTTCGACTTAATCTCGAGGGCCTCGGTGTTCAACCAACTGTACCCCTCGGGCATGTCCACTGGCCTTCCTTGATCAACAGCCCTCTCCTTCTTTTTGGTAGCGGCCTTCGCCTTCTTCTTCTTCAACCCGAAGACCGCCCTCAAAGGTGTCGGATCTAGCGGCCTCGAGCTACTTGCTTCCCCAGAACCCCGGGGGGGGGGGGGGGGGGGGGGGGGAACAGCAACTGTAACCTTCGTACTCTCATTTTGTGCCTCGTCCTCCGCTACTTGCCATGCGAGGGCTAGGTCTTCATCCTCACACTCTTGCTCGAAGCCCTCGGCTTCGACCTCAGCAATAAGTTCCTTCTGGACCTCCCGGGCCAGGGCGGCATCATCACCAACCGAGGGCTCGCTCACGGACTCCGCATCAGAAACATGCTCCTCACCAACCGAAGGGTCCCTCGACATGTTTTGGGAATCACTCTCGGGCGACATTTTTATCACGAAATGTGCCTAAGATTCCAAAAGCTTTCTACAGGCTCTAGCACCTAATCTAAGGCCACAGGACGAGACTTACTAAGAAATTTGAAGGAGGAGGGACTGACCTTTGAAAGCAGCGGATTCGACCGAAGGCTTGAGTTTCTCTCTCTAGAAATTTTGGCAGAGCTTCGCTAAGGATGTTGGATGCGTAAAGAAGGAATGGCATTGGCTTGGGGTATTTATAGGCGCTGGGATCCGGGCTTGGGCCTGGAGACCGGGCCTCCGGTTGGATCGCCATCATTACAGACCGCGGTACCGCCCAATCGGTGACGCCGCCCACGGACAGCCAACCATCACGCGCCACGTGTACCCCCCCCAACGGCTATATCCTGACGTTACATATTCCAACGGCTATATTTCCAACGGCTATATTCTGGGAGCCCCCGGATTTTCTTACTTCACTCCACTTCATCAAGGAGAGCCTCCGGGTACACTTACCCAGAGATGCCCCCGGTTTGTGCCCCACGCAGTACATAACAGACGCCTTCGGCATCACTCCTTCAGAAACCCAAGGCTTCGTATCAGGCCACCCCTCGGGGATTCCCTCTCAGCACTGTAAGGACCAGGTAGCCCCCGGGGAGTATGCCTCATTGACGGATAGCCTACGGCACACAGGTAATGGGAGCCCCCGGATATCCCCATCACCAACTAATCAACAAGCAGGGGACCCCCCGGTGACAATTCAACTACTGCCCTCATCCATCGCGCCCTCGATCCCCGGATTGAGGGGCTCCCCTTCGGCACCCCCAGGACATCGACAGCAAGCCTTCGGCTAATCAACACACGAGCCCTCAGAAAAAGGAGAGCCTTCGGCATTACCGTTATTCTCCATTTTTGACCAAGGTTTCACATTTTCGATTCATCGTTAGGGGAATTCGGTGCACTCTTTTTCCCTCATTAGGATTTTTTCCCCAGGGTTTTTCCTAATGAGGTTTTTAATGAGGCATCCCCCCAAAATGAAACGAAAAGCGTCAGCCTTCGGCCCACAACAGCAACTCAACTACTCTACTCCTTTTCACCACTTTACAAGTGCCTCAAGGAGTGGGGGACTGGAGGACCCCCTCGGGAAAATCATTAAATTACAAAATTAGTGAAAAATTCCAACAAACGGCAAAGCAAGCCCTCAAGTCCCGACATGTGGGTAACTGAGGGTCTGCCTTCGGCAGGGACATGAAAGCAACAACTCCTCACCAACTTCAGAGAGTACAATGGGACAACATCAAGGGGCAAGCACAAATTACTCCTTTTCCCCTCAAGTACCTTTCGGCAAAAGGAGTGAGGGACTCCTGATGGAGTATATGGCCCGGGAAACCCCGGCCCACAGACTCCTACTACACCAATGAAGGCCCAACCGGCCCAGGAAGCTCAACAGGCCCAAATCACGGCGCCCAGAGTACCAAGCAGCCCGCAATACGCACCAGGGGTGCCTTCGGCCCCCTGGCCGAAGGCTCCAAACTATCACAGCGTGGATATTTCGAACAAACAGAGGAACTGGGAGAAAACGGCGAAAATAGTAGCCCTCAGCACCTGGAGCCCTCGGCACTGAGGGGTCCTCGGCACTAGGAGCCCTCGGCTAGTCCTCTGCAGCCGAGGGCACCTCTCCCGACATGATATCCGCATCACATGCGTACAGATCACCGTACCCTGTACAGACGTCCCATCCAACAGCCGCATTAAATACGGCCACATGCGGCTGCCAGCGCCAACCAGTTGAGGTGACCTCTCGGCCAATGGGCGCTTGACACGTGTCCCTGTCCGGCATTTATTGCTACTATAAATAGCACCCCATTTCCCCATTTGTAAACACGCTGAAAACGCTCCACACTTATAATATACTTTCTCTCTCTACATTTACTTGCTCTGACTTCTCTCTTGTTACTCCCCGTAATAACCCCTCGGATAAGCTACCCCCCGGGTACACTATCCATCAGTAATAATATCAATAATATATTTAATGAAAATTGTGGATACTTGTGTTGTTTAATTATTTTATGTTTTGCATATGTTTAATGTTATTATTCACTATATTTACATTATAAAAATAGTTTATAAATGAGACAAAGCCCACAGAGGAGTAAAAAATACGAGAAAAGTGCAAAAATAAGAGTAAGGTTTTAAAATTTGATAAAAAGGAGTGTTTTTTTTTCTGGCTTGGACAATAATACCCCCTCCAAGGCTTTGGGCCAGCCATCACCTTAGAAAATCCACTGTCGTCAGATGTGACGTTGCCGATCGATCAGCTGCCGTGTGCCCGTGTCGACCGCCGGAATCTCCCGTCGCCGTTGAAAATCGCTAGAATGAATTGGCCACCATCTCGCCGCCGTTGCCGCCACAAACGGGCGGACCCGGTTACCCAATGGAACTATGGGGAATTGTTTGAAAGGAAAAACACCAAATTGTATTAATTTAATCAATGCTTTGAAGTTACAACCCACCAATCTCTCAAAATCTAACTATCTTTTAACAGACTTACACACAACCTCCGAAGAGGCAGCACAAATGACTAACCATCAAACGGGCAATATAGAGTTCTTCCTGACCCTTAAGGCCATTGTACACTTTACCACATCAAGAAACTCAAAATAACCGAAAGTCCTCCGAGACACCGCTGAGACATGAAAAAAATCACTCAAAATATAGTGAAACTTTTCATTGAACATATGGGAGCTTTGAGACAAAGAACGCCCACAAGCATCTCAGAAAAGCCAATAACACAAACAAAACGGGGACAATTAATTATATTAATTAAATAGATGTGGGGTATAAGACTATTATGGTTTCTTGGATAGGGCCCGGAAGATCAGTGAACTATTAATTGGAAACCTGAAATATGATTGAGAAATATCAATCTAGGAACTTAGTTTTCATGAAACTTATCATTTTAGATTTCAAAATTTGAAAATATTATTTAATTTTATTAAACTAATAAATTTTTGTAAGGAAAAAATCACCAAAATTAGCAATAGAATTAATAAAAATTTAAATAATCAAAATAGGTAGAATTTTAGATTCTAAATTGATTATTTTCAATCATTCCGCTCTATACCAACACATTTCATCTTTCAAGTCCCAAATCGATTCTGATGATACGTAGTATATTCAATCTTTCCGCTCTATACTAATGTATAGTTTTAAATAATCAAATGAAATAGTATTATTAACTTTGAACTTGATGTTAATTTTTTATTTTATAATTACTATTACATGTTTTGTAAAATATGTCGATATTTGATTTTCAAAAACTTTTATTGATTCTATCTAAAAATACAATTTTAACCCTTGCTTTTATTCATAAATAAACAAAAAAAAAACTAAAAAAAGTGGGCTGAATATTTTTGCGCCCACCAGGGCAAACTTGTAAATTAGGTGCGCGGAGGAAAATTTTTGCGCCCGTACAGGGGAATTAGGGCTGAATATCCACAGATATTTACTTATCTTCGAGGCAACCTAGCCTCCTCCTCCAAGCCGCTCGTACGTCAGTCACAGCTGAAGACTACTAGCACAATGGTATTTTCACTAACGTTTTCTCCGTTTCGTAGATGATTTTCTTCACATCTCAGACGAATTTCTCTTTAACTTTCAGGTGAAGTACTCCAGAGAGCCAGACAATCACACCAAGTGTAAGATCTTTTTTTTTTCAATTCTGCTTACTGCCTGTATAATTTGTCCAAAGCATCGTTTGTGCGTGTCTGTGTAAGTATACGTTTCTATTCCTTTGCGCATTGTCTATTTTTCACTCTTCATATTTATATTGCAGCCTGCAAAGCCAGAGGCTCTGATCTAAGGGTTCACTTCAAGGTACGGATCTGTTTTGCTATTTTATTTCTTAGAGTTGGTGCGTTTATTAGTCTGTTTTTTGCCTTTTGTGTGCTAAGCCAGCGTTCAGTTTGTATTATCAAATGTTTGATTTCGTGTTAGAAAATTTCCAGTGAAAAGGGGATTATCTCAGATGTTTCTTCTTTTCTTTTATGTACCTCAAGTAATAAAATTAAATGAAAGATGGAACATCTTCAATTTCTTGCTATGCAAGGTAGGTTCAATTTTTAAAAACACAAGTATGATAACCAGAATGCATAATCTTAAGGTTTTTTATAATTTAATATTATTTCAAAAGTAGGGGGATGAACCACTAGTTTTAAGAAAAACCACAAAAGAATATGACTAAAGGAACACGTAAAAAGAACCTACAATGTACAAGCATATCAGAAAATAAATGAACAACATACAACGAAATAACATTATAATAATCAACACAATCAATGTGAAAAACGAACAAAAAAGGGGAAAACAGAAATATAAAGCTGAAAGCTAAAGTATAAAACCAACCCTATTGAAGAAAAGCAAAGTATAAAGCTGAGTATAATTACTTTATACTCATCTATAAAGTAATTATTATATCCCCTATACACATTGCATCAACACTACAAAGCCAAATGTTTCATGGCTTGCGATTGTTTTCTATCACAATTCTAGGTCGAATCATTTAACAATCATCTTACCCAAATTCTTTATAAATTGCTTTATGTGATGTATTCTTATTTATTCTGCTCAACACATTCGGTTTTTGCATGCATGATGTTCTGCCACCACTAGAAAATGACCTTTGTTTTGATTTTCTGTGCTTTAACAGAACACTAGGGAAACAGCTCATGCTCTCAGGAAGTTGCCTTTAGTGAAGGCTAAAAGGTATTTGGAGGATGTTTTGGCACACAAGCAAGCCATCCCCTTCACTCGTTTCTGCCGTGGTGTGGGACGAACTGCACAGGCAAAGAACAGACACCCGAATGGACAAGGACGTTGGCCTGCAAAATCTGCTAAGTTTATTCTTGATTTGCTCAAGAATGCTGAAAGCAATGCTGAGGTATGTGGATATACTTCAAGACAAACAATTTCTTACCTTTTTCTCGTGTAGAGTAAATTTTGATCTTAAATGCTGACTCTTTTCTCATAATATAATTTAAAGGTGAAAGGATTAGATGTAGATTCCCTATTCATTTCTCATATTCAAGTGAATCAAGCACAGAAGCAAAGGCGCCGCACGTACCGTGCTCATGGGAGAATTAACCGTATGCGCTCCATATTCCCTTGTTTTTTTATCCACTTGGTACCACCGTACCAGCATTTCCAGAGTTTTTTTTAATTTTTTCATGTATTTTGTTGCAGCATATATGTCATCTCCCTGCCACATTGAATTGATCTTGTCTGAAAAGGAAGAGCCTGTCAAGAAAGAGGTTGGTTCAACTATTGAAGAGGACGTCACACCGAATTATTGTTTTTTTGATTCATTTTTAAATAATGTAGTGCAAGCGTACTAACCTGCTCTCTCTGTTTAAATTGCAGCCTGAATCTCAGCTGGCGACCAGCAAATCTGGAAAGGCTTAGCCATGCAGTCATACAAAAGAAGAGTTGGAATTTTACATTTTTACTCCATTTTGCGTGCAATCTATTTGAACTAGTTTCTTACATAGATCTTGTCTCCAAGAATGGTTATTATGCGTTATTTTTGTTTTTTGTTTTTGAAGAACCTTTTCATTTTTCATTTTCAGTTTGATAAATGACATTGCTTTTTCAGGTTCACTTCGCATGCATTAGTCATTTAGTCCTAGTTATTTAGATAATCTCTATGAATGGATTATGTATTAATTTATAATTTGGTTCATCAGATATTGCTTACTATCATACAGAATTACAGACTAGTGTTTTAGGGCTGTTGTGGTCGATTTGGGACATGGTTCTGGATTCAATTGGGAACAGGACTGGTCCGCATGAAAGTGATGAAACTGAACCATGTTTCTGGTCTTAGATGTATAATTTTGGATCTATTGCTTTGTATAGTTTGCAAATCTGGTCAGAATGAACTCCGTATGAAATGGATCCAAAACTCTTCGTTACAATTTGAAGTTGTATCTGCTACTGGGGGTTGTGATTATGGTTCTTGCAATCTTGTGGTTAGGCAACAGGGATTGTATTGGGCCCCCTATTTGCTGATGTGGAATGTGGATACGAGTGCGTATACCGTGCAACCGGTATACGGTGAGCACCGTATACCGGGACGGTTTTTTTTTTTTTTTCCTTTTGTTTTTAAAAAATGGTAATAACTTTTTTATTTGTGATCTGATTTTTATAAAATTTATATCAACATTTTTTATTTTTAATGATCTTTCAAATGAGACCAATATTGCTTATGTAATTTTAACATATTAACATTTGTGTGTAAAATATGTAACTTTAAGTATTAAAATATGTAACTCTTCAGTCAAGTCAAATGCAACTCGTGTGTATAAATATGTATCTCTACGTGTAACAATATGTAACTTTACGTAAAAAAATATGTAACTCGCATTCAGACAGGTCACATGCAACTCGTGTGTATAAATATGTAACTCGCGTGTATAAATATGTAACTTTACGTGTAAAAATATGTAACTTTACGTGTAAATACATGTAAGTCGCGTTCAAGCATGTCAAATGCAACTCGTGTTTATATATATGTAACTCGCTTTTAAAAAGATGTAACTTGTTTATAAAAAGATGTAACTTGCTTATAAAAAGATGTAACTTGCTTATAAAAAGATGTAACTCGCTCATAAAAAGATGTAACTCAATGTATTATCAAATGTAAATGAGGCCACTGATCCACTACCAAACAGATTCGATCTTCTATTTCACAAACCTATCATCTCCCAAACAGATTCGATTTTTCTTATAATCCAATACTCATTAATATAATAGTTCAATAATTTCTTAAAATTACATACACAATATTGGTCTCATTTGAAAGATCATGAAAAATAAAAAATGTTGATATAAATTTTATAAAAATCGAATCAAAAATAAAAAAGTTATTATCATTTTTAACAACAAAAGCAAAAAAGAAAAAAAAAATCTGATCCTACGTCGTTTTTGCAACCGGACGCACCATCCTCATGGTGCGCCGGTTGCACCATATAATTTGCGGTGGATACTGAGCTTCTGTTTAATTCAAGCTGTGCAACGTTTCCATATGTGGGCGATTTGAAGCTAGAGTAATAAAAAATATTGTTGATTCGTCTAATTAATTACTGAAAAAGAGAGTTTTTGAACGAAAAAGAGAGTTTTTGAACTCAACTGAATAAGTTGCAATTTTGATTAGAAAATCTTATTAAATTCTCAATTGAATAAGTTGCAATTTTGATTAAAAATCTTGCTATAAAGTCTCCTCAGCAAAAATACTCCACTTGCAACTAGGGGTGGACTCGGGTCCGGGTCGGGCTTAGGCTCAGGCGGGCCTAGGTCCGGGCGGGCCGGCGGTTCAAGAATGGTGGACCCGGGACTCGGGTCCGGGCCAGGCCTCCGGTTTGTTTTTTTTTTTTTTTGCTTTCCTAGCCCCCCCCCCCCCCCCCCCTCACCCCCCCACCCTCCCAAACCCCCCCAAACCCATCCTACCCATCAAGCCCAACCCGGGTGGAAGCCCAAAAATGAAAAAAAAAATAAAAAAAATCAATTTGGCCCGGGTCGGGGCCCGACCCGGCGGGCCGGTTCACCAAAATTCAGACCCGAGCCCGGACCCGCCCTACCCCCCGGGCCTAGGCCCGACCCGGACCTGGACCCGAGAACCGGGCCGGTCCCGGTCCCGTACAGTAGCTGGCCGGGCCGGTCCACGGGCCGAGTGGCCCGACCCGAGTCCAAGCCTACTTGCAACTTTTGAAACAATGCAAGCTTCGCATAGGAAGACAATGTAAGCTTGGAGAGTTGGAGTGTTTGCCAAAGTTACAACTAATTTTTACATACTTGCCCAAAATCACAATCTGGGAAGGATCCGAATATTTACCGTTAGGCCTTCAAAAATATAACCCACATGAACATGGATTTTCCGGGACAAGATAACTACAATTCTGAAAGATCATCTACCACACTAGGGTTGTTCTATTCACACTGTTACATTTTGTATCTCTTTTTTCTTTCAATGAGTCCAGGATATGTAAAAAACTTAGGGAAGAACAAGGGGAAGCCACAACAAACTAATCAACATTGTCATGCCAGCTACAACTATTTAGCCTCTTCAGTGGTGATAGTCTGTCACATCTACATACTCTCAGCCTCTAAAAAGCAACGGTTTCAACCCCTCGACAAACACACACTCGCTACTTATTCACGGTAACTTCGATGATGAGTTAATTTGTTGTAGACTAATGTTAGCGGGCATTAAATATGAACATTATAGAGAAACATTAAATATGACACATTCAATGGATGATGGTGATCATCAACCAAGAAAATGGGTACGGCTCAGAATGTCCATATTTAATTTCTCTTTACCGTTACATCTTTGTAGCATCATTTCCCTTAATAATGTTGGCTTGTCATCGATCCATCTGTGGTGTCTTCATCATCTTCAAGTTCATTCAGCTTGTCCAATACTGATTGGTTCACCTCCTTACGGGATTGTCTCCTGTGTTTCTTCGGTTCTAACCTTGGTTCGGCGTGCATAACACCTCTATCTCGCGGTTTATACCTGAAAAAATAATGAGACTGTATATAGTACAACATTTCCATCATTTGCAATGGAGCCAAAGATTCATTATTTTTTGGCTTGAGATTATGATGGAATAAAGCAAAATGGCTCACTAAACTGTCTGCGCTTCTTTGTTATGGAGAAGCAGTCAGTTCATGCAATTTTGGACGCGATTTTCACTATGGGTCATCCGGAAACAGTCTCTCTGTGCTTTAGTACATGGGTAAGACTGCGTACATCCGACCCCCCCTTACCCCACCGTAGGTGGGAGCCTTTGTGGCACTGGGGTAAATGAAAATGATGAAATGAATGAACTGTATATAGTACAACAATTAATAAGATTATAGTACAACAATTGATTGTCGTGATTTTCGATATACTACTGTCAAACTTACCACACCCCCTCCCCTACCTAAAAAAAGAAAGAAAAAAAGAATTCAGTCCAACAACGCACCTGACATCACTTTCTTGTTTAGTCCCTATAGCCCTAAGCTGAATTTCCTCTCTGATTCTAATATCATCGAGCAACTGAAGGTAGTATGGGTATCTTTCCCAGTCTCCACCAACAACACACCCTGGTTCGCTGAGATGCAAGCAATTCCTGAAAGAACACTTCGCAGGTTCTTTGTCTTCAAGCCTTTTTACGATCTGAAGAAAAAGTAATGCTATGGCCATTTATTGGTTCAAAATAAGTGAGTAAATATTGGTGAATCCAGCGAAAATGCACCTCAGGAAAATTTTGAGCAAGGGATTGCTTTGTCACTTTAGTCAAACTAGGCTGGTTAAATCCAGGAGTATCAGCAATATACCCTCCCCCAGATATTGGAAGTAAGGAAATGTTCCTGGTTGTATGCTTCCCCCTTCCACTTCTGGTGGATACTTCCCCAACACTTTGCTGCTCTTCAAACCATTTTCTGTCAAGAATCTGACAAGTCTCTCCAGAGAAATTTATGAAAATATATTAAAGGCCAGAAACTGAGAAAAAGCTCACTGGATGAGAGGAACCTATGCCTCCGTCGGCAGCACCAGAGACACCACATTTATTGATTCTCATCACATTAATGAGACTAGATTTTCCAACACCACTAGGTCCCGCAATTACTGAGGTCCTTTCTCTCATAATGAACTGCAAAGCATCAATTCCAAGCATCAACTTAGCACTGCAAAAGATAGGTTCATAGCCCCATTTGTGAAGCCTACATCTCCATGCAGCCAATGTCTGCATATAAGTGATAAACATAGCCTCATGAAGTTATTAATATCCATGAAGGTAATCAATGATAGATGAATAAATGAATAAACAATAGGAAGCAAATTCAATAGAACCCAACATGTTACATTATGGAATTTGAAGAGCTTACGACACTAAAAGACATGGACATGTGGAACATTATCATTTATCATCTAGTTAATAATGAAAAAATGAAAATGAAAAAACAAACCCATGGCCACAAGTTTGAGTTCAGGAACCAAGTGTACTTACATTGTAGGATTTGAAAAGCTCACTTCACTAAAATCGGAAAAGCTTCTTAGAGCATTCTCTGCTAAAGCTACATTAGAACTGTAAATGATAAATCATTCCAAACACCAACCATAAATTTGATATTGAAATGACAAAACCTGAAGCAACATATATTTAGTATACAAGTATACTGTACAAGTAATATGTATGTGATTATACATCAAATGAGAAGAGTTTAAGTTTGACACGTAATTTCATCTGAATTCTCTCAAACACCTGGAGCTTTAACCAAACCAGATCTTCTACCTTACATTCAATACTCTGGCATTTTTGGTAGCTAAATCAAATGAGTTATACGTGTGGCGAATACAACAAAGTAGATTTGAATTGTTTCAAGAGTCCATTTCTTCTGCCAGAATCTCATATGTGTGTATATTCGTTAAGATTCGGATGTAGTGTGGAATGATAGGCGGGAGACACCTATTCACAGATTGAAATAGACTTATTTCATGCATTGATAGGAGCTAGAGTTATAGAAAGATTTTCACTGACTGATCAAAGAACCATTGACGATAATGTGAGCATGCCTGAGGAGGTGAGACGTGAGGATCGATTAGATCAAGCAAGTTCTGAAGGAGTAGTTGGTTATATCTCCGTTTATAGGTTCATTTTGCGTTCAATCTCTAATATATATAGGTGTACTGATTAACCAGATGGGGTATAATTGTATTATTGATTTCTTCTCTCTTCTAATTGGAGTTTCTTGTTCTTTATTATTAGTGTAAAAGGAGAATCCTGATACAACTGCAGGTTGACTGTATTATACAGCTTAAGAATAATTGCAAGATCCATTGCAAACTTGGCATTGCTAAAGCATTTCCTCACACACTTGAATAACTCACAGCATAAAGTTCACAAAACCATATTTTTTCCTCTTAATATACTTTACGAGTCAAATAAGATCCTATCAATGCCATTATAAATAAACTAATCATAAAATGTCAAAGGTTGATAATATTTTCATTTTCATGAAGATGCAAACCTCTTCAGGAACAAGTTCACACTTGTTTAATGCAAGGGTGAAAGGAATTTCACTTGACTCAGCCTCAATAAGGAATCTAGTGAGGGAGAAGGCCTCAAGTTTAGGTTGCTCCAAGGAAAATAACACTAGCAAATGATCAGCATTCGCCACAGGAGGGTCTGAAATCTCGCACTTCCTCCCAAACACATTCTCTATCATTCCTCGTCTATCAACCCAATCAATCGAACCAACGAGAACTTTATCCCCAACCATCACTCTTCTCTTGATCTTCTTCAACACCGCCTTCGCCACACACAAAAGCTCCACCGCAACTCCTGGAGTGCCACTGGAACCTTCAGTCAATTCAGAAATAGTACAAGCTTCAGAAGGAAGTGATTGCACTATAACACGCATGAAGTTTGCTTGCGAAGCAGAAACCGTCCCTACTGCTTGGTCCTGAGACAGATTCAGCTTGTCTTCGTAACAGAGAACGGAAGCGGGAGACGAAAATCGCTTGAAATCCTCGCGAGCCTTGAGGATGTTCATATTCTGGTGCGGGACTTTCCTAGTAACGTTGTCCAAGCTCTGATTGTATCGACGAGCTGCGATATTAATGGCGGGGGATGATGATAAGTACCTCCGCTGCAAGCCTGAGGCCGTGGAAGGCGAAAACTTATATCGACGCGCCGCAGGTTGCCGGGGAAACGAAATTGACGCGATTGTCATTGAGGCACGAGGTGGAAGATCCGAAGTTAGGATTTGCTAGGAGAAAATGAAGAAGGATGGTAGTTACAGAATCCATATTTAATTTGAAAAAGTAATACAAAATCCATATTTGACTCACTATAATTATTTATCGTGCATAAATAAAAAAGTGTTTTAAAAAAATTGTTACACCCATAATTCATATTTGACGCATAATATTATTTTACAATTTATTTAATAATGGTCTTATATGTAATTATTTATATATTATAATCGTTAAAAAAATTAACAACATAATCCAAAACAATACAAGTTCAATTCATCGTAAAATCGAAGACATGCGAATAGAAAAGTAAAAACGATTACATGATGTCAAACTCTCATCATTTTTGCTTTTTGATCCAACTTAACCCACCATAGTGGGTGCTCTTAGAGAAACAGAGAGAGCCTTTTGTTCTAGGGAAGGGAAGCGTAAGTGTTAATAATTTTACCTTGAACCATTGAGTCAGAAGAAACGAGTAAAGAGAAGAGATGAAAAAGGGAGACCATCAGACTTGCGTCAAAGAGATTCGAAGTGAGATGTCAAAACATTTTATGTTTTTAGGGTAAATGAGAAGGGTAATAATTATCCAACACCTCAAAACACTCCAGATTGGGGTGTTAAAAAAGTGGACATTTGAGGCGTTGGGAAGGTTATTATTAACACTTCCTAACCTTTATTGACACTTCTTAACACCTCTTAATTTTTCTCCCAAACAAGTGTTAGTATCAACACTTACTAACACTTCCATTACTAACACTCCCTAACACTCGATCCAGACAGGCCATAATACTCGGGGGATGTCCCCAAATTTAGATTTTAAAAGATTTTAATAGAGTTTAAATTCCATCCAATCCAGTTATCCTTAACTTAGATTTCTATAGAGTCTATTAAAACCCGATTATTCTCAAACATTCCTTGAATTTTACTTATTGATTATTTTGATGGATTTTGATAGACTTTGATGGACTTTGAGTAGACCCTTTTGGGAAACTTTGAATTCTTGATGGTTGAAGCACAAATTGATTTAACACACACACAACACTTCCTCGGTTTGAAACTAATGAATTGCCTGGAAACTCCCTTATGTGAATTTATGTATATTGATTTTGACTGTTTGATTTACTTAGAAATCTGATGGTCGTTCCTCATTGGAAATACGTGTAATTTATGTATATTGATTTAAACTTGTTTGATTGAGCATTAACAGGAGTTGGACTGTCACCACTATTATCGAGAGAGTACACGATTTTATCCTTACTTTAAGGTAATCATTTACTCCTCATATAAAACTATAATTTCTTATTATATTTTTAAAAAGATTATTATTTATTTTCTCACTAGGATTGTATCGGGGCAATTGATGGTACACATATACCTGCGAGGTTGCGACTGCGATAGTTGAGGGTCGTGATGTGATGCCTTACCGTAATCGGCATGGAAACCTATCACAAAACGTGTTGGCGACTTGTAATTTTGACTTGGAGTTCATTTATATTCTTAGTGGTTGGGAAGGTTGAGCTCATGATTCAAAATTATTAAATGATGCACTAACAAGAAGAAATTGGTTAAAACTTAAAAGTTCCACGAGGTAAGCATCATTTTTATCACTATAAGGTATTTTATATTTGTGTCGTATAGTAATTTATCATGTATTTCATTTGTCATCTAGGGAAGAGTTTTCTAGTTGATTGCGGATTTGCAAATCGTCAATTTTTTGGCTCCATTTCAAGGTGTTCGACATCATCTTCAAGATTTTGGTGGGCAAGGTCGTCATCCTGAAAATGAAAGGGAGTTATTCAATTTACGTCATGCTTCCTTGAGGAATGTTGTTGAGAGAATATTTGGTATTTTTAAATCACGGTTTGCGATTTTTAAGTTAGCCCCTCCATTCGTATTCAAAACGCAAACAGAGTTAGTATTGGCTTGTGCAGGAGTGCATAACTTTCTACGCAGAGAGTGTCGCTCAGATGAATTTTCTGTTGATTCAGATGATGAAGACTCTTTAGACGAATCTTTATTAGAGGATGATGAAGATGAAATTGACACTCTCCAAACGCAGGATGAACAAAGGCAATATGCAAATCAATGGAGAAACGGTATTGCACAACAAATGTCGACGGATGTTATCAATGAAGATCACATGGATTGAATGTATTCCTTTTGTTACTGAGGAAGCGGCCCAGCCCAGCTGGTCGCCGACTCACTCTTTCTTATGGGAGGTCTCGGGTTCGAAACTCAATGGGCTGAGTTTCAACCCTGATTACTCCAGGCCCCCCAGACACCCCCTGGAGTAAAAAAAAGTATTCCTTTTGTTACTTTAGTACGGTTCCTAATTCTTTAAGGTTGTGCTTTTATTATGGATTAAATATCAATTACGTAGTTTGTTATATTTCAATTTGAGGTTTTTCCTTAAATATGACTAGATTGAAGCCAATTCATCGTTAACATTTCCCAATGAATTTTAAAAAAACGAATAATTTTTTTATCAAAATATCATGACGACTTTTCCGATAGTGGTTTGCAGCGGTTGAGCAGGTGTGGGGGCTGGGAATTAGGGCATGGGTTTACACCGGCTTGTATTTCAAATCTATTAAAATCCATTGAAATCCATGTGATTCCATGAAATAGAATTCCATACGAATCTCATGAAATCTGTAGAATTCACACATGTAAATCTTCTAATATAGCAGTTAGATTTACATAATTCCATAGTAATTCCCACACGAATTACCGTTGAAAAGTTGACATTCCATGTGATTACATGTGTTAATTTTCTCATAAAAACACTCAAATTTTACGTAATAAAATTCTTAAAAGATGAAAAAACTAAAAATAAATTTTGCATTATCCAAGATGCTTCACTAGAAAATTTTATTACAACTTTAAGTTTTTATCATAGTATTGTTTTCTATCTCATTTATCCAAAAAATTGAATACTTGCACTTTAAATTCAAAAGTGTGATTGTATTCAAAATTGAATACAGTTTTCCTCCCATACTTCCCACTCCTTTACTTAAACACCCTCCTCAACTCCTTCAGACGCAAATCCGACCTTCAACTGTGGAAGTATTATTTTCGGCGTTGCCTTTTGACGTGCACTTTGTCGTGGTGTGCACTTAAAATAAATATCAATACAACAATTATACGTAGTATAATGAAGTAAGGTTCGTATCCACACGTAAAGGAATATTTCTCTTTTAATTAAATAGCAACAAGGGGGGTTTTAAGATTGTTGATGAACTTGAATGTATTTAAACACTAAGATGAATGACTTATGTGTTTTAATTAATAGAGATGAAGACTTGGTTTTTCTTTTATCCACTTAATGAAATGTTCGTCGATCCTGGTTATATCTTTAACTATCTGCCTCTCGAATACTCAATCGAAGAGTATCTCCATTTCATCGAGGGTAGTTATTAATAACGAGACACGTTCATTAATAAAACTTACTACCGAGTCAATATAGAACATGCACCGTACATTACACCGATGGTAGCAATAAATCTTAAGATGAAAACGATTGAGATTGATAACCTCAACACAAGCGGTTGATTGGTTTAATCAATATAATTAATTCCCCTTAGATTATTAACCATGAGACGCATGCATTAATAATCCAAGTTTACTACTGTTGAAAGAACCGAATTAATAACAAGCATATTAATCGATTGATTCTAGTAAAAATTAATATATGAAACAAAACTAGTTGATCATTTAAGTAATGTTCAAAATATTGATATGAAATAGGAATAGGAATTAATTAATATTCAAGGAAGAAGATTAAATCAAATAAATGCTACCATAATTAATGTCGAGATGTTAACTAATTGTCATCTTAGCAACACTCCCCAATATTAATATGGAGATAGATTAAAGGAAGAATTAATATTCAAGAAAGAAGATTAAAGAAAATAACTCACAACTTACAATTCATTAAGATTCGAAGTAGCAAAACCAAGATGGAAGAATTTAGCTCCTCATTTGGAGACTAAACATAATGAAAATATAAAGAAAGAACTTATCTAAACTGAGCTTAGAAGTGTATAGGAATTGGTGCCCCTATTGTGAAGAAAAAGGGGTTTATTTGTAGGCTTTTGGGCTGCATGGTCGTGTACCCAATCGGGTGTATATAAGGTACCTGATCGGGTATCTTCAGAAATGTGTACCATATGCATACCCAACCCATTATGGAAAAGAGTTTTTAGGCATACCCGATCGGGTGTGTCGGTGTACCCGATCGGGTATGACAACCGATCATGGCCAAATCTTTCCCTGCACGTCCCTTTGTCTCTTGGATTGATTCGATTGAAAATTAGTTCGGTACCCGATCGGGTGTGTTGGTATACCCGACTGGGTACATGTCAAAATCAGGATATTTTCTTCTTGTCTTGTATTCTTGCACCTTCCTTCCTCTTCTGGAGTTCACCAATAATCATTTGATTGATCATAAACCTGTTTTAGCTCAGAATAGACCTAATCTAAACGAATTACAAATATTTTACAAACATAACTACAACACCAAAAGTGTGCAATTTCCAAGGTATCAAACAACAAACTTAACTGAAAACACAAACATACATATGGAAATTACATGCGTATAAACTCCCCCACACATAGTTCTTTACTCGACCTCGAGTAAAGTAAAATGTTTCAAATAGTTTTGAGAGTTTTCACTAGTTCAAGAAAGTAAGAACATAAGACCACCAAGTGACATTAATGTATTTTTTCTTTGACAAGATACATTCTTCTTGGGTTTTTTGGGTGTTCTATGCTCAAGCTTTTTGCCTATTTTCTCCTTCTTCTAGTCTTCTATTGCTCCCTTTCTCCAAAGAGATTGAATAAGGTCCTGCAAAAACAAATATTTCTCTCATTTTTCCTAGGAGCCTTTTCAGGTTTTCATCCTATCATCTCTTTTTTGTTTTTCTATCCTTCCCAACTCACTCATCATTTTTCTATAAGTCCTTTTTGCTTAAATTGCCCGTTTTTGGATTTTCAACCTAACTATCTTTTCTTTTCTTTTATTTATTCATTTTTTGTTGTGTTTACCAAAATGT